TGGGTGCCCACAGCCTTAGCTACCTAGTCCTTTGTTTCTACTTCTGTAGGAAAACATTCTAATAATTTTTCAGTCTACCACTCCTAGGAGAAATCAGGCAGGTTATGTGGCTTGGATTTCAGTTACATACAGGACTTCCTTGACTTCATGGCCTTTCCAGTGTGGCACATTTGTCCTCAATTTTCTTTGCATGGCTTAAAAAAAAAGTGTTGTTCACTGAGGAAAATGAGAGTTTGCCTACCCTGTTGAGTCACCTGGAGAGATTGCTGCTGGAAGGGAGTTGGATCACCTTAAATTCGAGATTCTTTGAGTAGTGCTAAATGCTTTGCTACTCCATTTGGAAAGATTATAAGCTACCATGCTGACTGACTGTGATATTCATTAGAGAACTTTCTGGACAAATATAGTCAGTGAGACACAAAGGTTTAGCAGTATCATTTAAATGCTATTAAGGAGTGTTGAATAGTCTTGTCTTTCTGTCACCATCTTTGGAGGATTTCATACAACTATGCATAATTCTGGGCTTCTTGTTGGGAGCCAGCCTGAGAAAGGACCCCCAACAGGTTATAAAGGGGCAGAGGTTCTCCTGAAATGGCTTTTATAATAAATGGAACTATGTAATCATTTGGTTAACTTGTTATTCAACCAGTGCAGAACAGTCCTTGGCCTTAAATCCAGCTTAGCATCTTGATACGTTTCGGTTGCATGGTGCTACCAGTGAGATGACTCTCCTTTGACATATTCAGCCATTTGGAAACTTATTTTATGTTCAGAAACTTACTTGACGTTCTGCAGGAATGTCAGAGTATGCAGTCATTTGATAAAATAAAGTAGGGATTTGGAGTTAGAAAAATAAAAGAATCTGGTTGTCTTCTGGCAAATTTTTGGTTCTGGTTATCGACAAAGTATACACCTCTTGTCAGTATAAATAGGGAGTGCCTGTATAAACATTCTTGTTTCGCCTGTTCCACATAATAGTTTCTCGTATCATATTTCTTTTGACCTCACTATCTGAAACCAATTACAGGAGATCCATTTGGGCTGCATCTATTTTCATAAGAAGCCTAGGCAGCAGTGTTTTTCTCAGAGATGAATATCAACATCAAATATCCTTCTGAGTGCTTTGTTATTTATGTTTCAGAGAGATTTTGTAGCCTTCAGCTCTCAAGAATGTGTCACGCTGTGCTGTTTATACATTGACGATATTAATGGGCGTAGATGTCATTTTTCATTTTAACGTCTCAAATGCAACAGGCTGATAGGTTAAACATTCCTGATTTTAAAGGAAAGATATGAGTGACATCTGTTTCCTAAAAATACACATATATTTACTTTTTAAAAACCAAAGTAATGTTTACCATCTTTTAGTGACAGCTTTCACTTTATTAAAATGATAAAACCTTAAAAATAATTTGAAGTCATGCTTACATTAAATAAAAGTGTTTGGAATAAAAAATTAAAGCAAGTTATATCTCATAGTATTATTGCCAACAAACTGCAAAATCTACAGCAATTTATCAACTTTAATAGGGTAAGTTATGTGCAATTAATTTTATTTTTGTTCTGCTTATGTTTTAGCTATGCCAAAGCTGCACAGTAGATATTAAGAAGTAGTGTTTCCAATAAATATTTTACTAGAAGACACAGTGAGTTCTGGAAACCATATGCCCAAATTTCCTGCTTATATAGCTATTACTTAGAGCATTATAATGATTTTCATTTGTGTTATTAAAATAATTTCTAATCCTAAATTCTTTTTATTGCTTTTGTCTACATTGACTTTTTTTTGTATAGTTTTGCTAATTTAGATAACTTAGTTAAGGAAAAGTACCTGCTAAATGTGAAACAAATGTTAGTGGAAACTAGATGTGATTTTGAGTGCCTTACAATCTGTTCCTTCTTCTCTTAACTTGTGGTAGGACTCAACATAATTTTGATCTGCCAGATTTATAAGCATTTGTTAATTTGTCTTAATTATATTGTTTTTAAACCACGAGTTATTATCAAATTAGTTAATAGAATTTTATAAATCATACATAGGATGTGTGTTTACTTGAAGTTTAGATGTTTATGAATTTTGAAAGATACTTTCAAGTTTTCAATTTATAGGCAAAGATTTAATAGCAGCAAATGAATTGGTAGAACTAATGTTTTATAATCTCATAATCTTCAGTTGTGAATAATGTTCAGTAATAATGCTTTGAAATTAACAGTGTGTTCTGGGAGGTTGTTTACCAAGTAGCAAAATGTAAAGTTAAGCAGCACAATGGGAGAAAAAAGTACCATATGATGACTTCTCTAAGAACAAAGGCTGACAGTGATTTCTCCTTATGAGTTTTAAATCATCTCTGATCTCTTGAAATTGTTTTCTGTTCTTCTTCTATCTCCTGTGTTTACAATAATCTAAACTGCCACAATAAGATCACTGAAGTATTCAGGTAGTCATCATTTGTAAGACATTCTGTATTAAAAGATAAGCCTTTACTCCTTTAGAGATATCCCAACCAGCACATATGAATCAAAATAGTTTAAGTATTAGAGCCTTTTATGCAAGCATATCCTGTTGTGCTGCCTTGCTTTTTCATGAAGTGTGACTCTTTTTGTAGTTAGCTGTAGGAAGTCATGCTTTCTTAGTCTGATTCCACGGGAGTATGCTACCCACAATTTGAAATCATAATGTCTAGCTTAAGTCTAAGATACAGCAGACTATAATTCTCTAATTTTCAAGTACTAAAAATGTACAGCTTTAGCAGATGCTTGCTTGCTTGTTTTATTGTATTGACTTGAGAGGACTTTGGTGCTAAAGATTAGGACACTGAAACAACTTGCCGAGTGTTCCACTTATTTGCAAGTATACACCAGCATTATATCATTACGATTTCTTTTCCAGATAAAGGGCATGCAATGAATTTTCTGTGACTGCTACAAATAAAACATTATTATCTTGATTTTTTTTCCATTTTCTGTAACTCCAAATCTCTTCTCTGGTTCTTCTGGCAGTATTACACCAAGCAGTGAGGTTGGTTTTCCTCCAGTCTCCCATGAATTTGGGAGTGCAGTATTTCTCTTGCTTACATTCAGGTTTTCCTTTCAGAGAGCTCTAAAGATTGAGAAAGATTATAAATTTGTCACAGATCTTCTATTCCTGCCTTTAATCTGTGTTTTGTGCTTAAACCGCTGCAAGACATTGGGACCGAATCCTGGTGTCCCTGAAATCAACACTATATTTATGTCTGATCTCAGGCAAAGGAGGATTGGCCTTTAGGATCTGCTCAAGAGCTTGGAGTGCAGAAGAGATCATGCTATTCATATAAGAAAGAGGGCATCTGGTGGTTCCTTGATAATAAAATATTTCAAGTGCACTTTAAAATATGCTAACTTTTGTTTATTTTTGGTGGAGAGAAGATAGTTCTGTCTGTCTCATTGCTTAGGTTCAGAGAAATGTATAGTCTTTGTAAAGCTGACCTGTAATTACTTGAGAATTTGATGAAACAATACGGGGATTGTTGTGGGAATGTCTTCAAATGTTAAAAGTCTGTTCTGCAAACTTTGTATCAGGGCCTTCTATGGGGAGACGAATCAATGTTGTTAGGAGATGGTGCTAGTGCATTCACTTTGTTTACTTTGGTTTTCTATGTCTGCCTACCTTCTCAGAAAACTTGCTTGGAGCCAGACTGTAGCAGCCCTCTCTCTGTCTTTTCATAATTGATCAGGGGATGACTGCCTTCCCTGAGGGTTAAGACGTGGCAACTTTTTCTGTTTGCTCAGCATCTCAATGCAGTAGTTCAAACATTGTTCACACCAGCTGGCAGTGTAATGCCATATGCACATCTTGTCAAAGCAACTGTTGTCATGGATACTAGAAACTATCTTAAAAACCAGCTCATTTGAGTCTAATCAAAATAGTACCTTTCTTTATCAGTTGAGAATCTTTATTATTTTAGGGAACATTGATCAAATGGCATTTATTGCAGTATATTCCATCTACAGTGGGTTTTAAAAACATAGATAATAGTGTGATGTATTGTAAAGCTGTAACTGCTATTTACTGAGCTGATTTTTTTAAGGGGGAAAAAATGAGTTCTCCAGGTAGTTTCAGTGGAAATGTTTTGAATAGTTTTTATTTATAAATAAATACTACTTTATAACACTTGACATTTTAAAAATAATTTTATAGGGGAAAAATAATATAGATCAGCATTCTTTGTGTAAGTGGAATGTTTGTTTACATTTCATATGTTTAACTGTATTTTGCTGAGTTGGAATGAAAACGTAAAATAAATGAAAACATCATCTATTTTGATTGGGATACTGTCATCCCTGAGCCTGATCTGGTTGGTTGAGTACTAATTTCTTTGTTCTCTGATTTTCCTAAGAATGCAAATTAAAACCACTCATTTTTATTTGGCATTAAAACTGCACTCTTTTTTTATCAAATGAGAGGTTTCTCCTTGAATTGTAAGTACAAAAAGTGTTTTTAATCTTCAATGAATATCCTTATTAATTCACTTTCAAGATAATCTGATGTTGATTTGTCAAATTTAATTACAGCTTCTGGTAACACTTGAAGTCTACTTGCTTTTACTTCAAATTGTAATATGAAAATGCAAATTGAATGATAATTTGCAAGGGAGTGGGCATTTTAGTTGAACACTCAAAGACAAGTTCCTTGTGGAAATGAGGCTATTGATGCAGTTTATGATTTTTCCTCTTCAAGCACTTCAAACAAATTAACTTTATTTCCTGCAGGATTTCATGTACATCCATAAATTCTAGTGAAGTCCTATATATGTACTTTCAGAATATTTTTTTAATGTTTTAAGTAAAAAAAACCCCTGAAGTCTGAAATCTAGCAAATACAAATCAAATAGGAGGAGATTATGTTTGTTCAATTGGACTTTTACCTAACATTAGCAATGAGTAACTCATTTCTTTCTAGGAACTGGTTGAATTTATTTGCCTTTTTCTTTTTTCTTTTTTTTTTTTTTTTTTACTTTTAGGCACTCCAGGCAGCAAGACAGCTGCTTTTACAGCAACAGACAAGTGGACTGAAGTCTCCTAAGGGCAGTGAGAAACAGAGACCGCTGCAGGTTAGTAAAGAATCCTTGCTTTTTGGGCCTTAATCTCAGGGAAGAGTGCTTGCTCACACGTAAGGGATGTGTGCCAATTCCTGTAATCTTAATAGCATGCATGTGCTTATTCATATACTGGAGGTTACAGGCTTCTTGCTGCTGACTTCACAGAAAAAATCCACTATAGGTTACAAAGGCCTTTTGTGACTACAGATGCTTAAAAGGTCTAAGACTCAGTTCAGTTGCTTTGGTATACATTAATTCTTTATAGGCACATAATGAAGTTGGTATGGGATTTTTATACATACAGAGATTAAATTGTAAAAATGTGTTAAGAATAAGAGTAAAACATTATCTGGGGAGAAAAAAAACCCGAAATAGTTCCTTGGTGCTGTATCTAGGTAGCAAACAGAGAAGTGCTCAGAAACTTAAAAACACAACTACATGAAATTATGAAGGAGCTGCTTCTGCCATTTTAGAAAAAAATATATGTCATTAAGTTTCACACTAAGATGTTGTTGGGCTTCAGATTGTGTTCACAATAGAATAGAAGGTCTGTTACTGAATAGATATTTTAAATGCAAAATATAAAGTAAAAATAGAAAGAGAGTTTTAGTCTGGGAAAATTTTATGTGAGTGAGTCTTTTTTGTGGTATTAACTTGTTTTTTCCTTATTCAGAGTTCCATATGAAGTTGCATTGTGCTGGCAAAACTTGTTCTCTCTTGCATGTAGACCAAATATGAGTGTTTCACTGCTGAATTATATTTTGTTACAGACAGTTCTATTTTGTTCAGAAAATTAAAAAAGCATCCTATCATTCTCTTCCTCACATCTATTTTTCTGGGTGTGCCTTTATTCTCTTGGGTCTTCCCCTGTTTTCTGATGAAGTAGGATTTTTTTATCTCATTTTTAGTTTTAGTCGTGCATAATGGAGGACCCCAGGCACTAGAATTTATCTTTTTCTCCACCAGGGAGATGTTGAGAAATTCGTTCACTTGTGCAGTTTTTGTGTGTTATTCATATTGTCTCCTTTTCTTTGTAAAACTTGGTGAAGCAATGTTGGTCACAACAAACAGTTCCACATTCCTGATCAGCTTTCTTCAAATATACTTCTAAAGCTGTATTTATTTGCTCAGAACCAAACAAGAACTTAGGAATATGACTAAAGAAAGTGGAAAAAAGGAAAACATCTCATGTTGGCATCCTGCTATGCTGTAGTTTTAGTCCAGTCCAGAGACTGAGTCCTGGGACCTTCTCAGCTTTCCATTCTTCACCATTGACTTTGCTTCATATCAAATATCTTCTACATTAAAGGCATACAAGAAGAGTAGCCATAAAATCAGAAGCTTATGAGCCACATAGTTTTTTAAAGTTTTTAGAACCAGAATTGGTGATTTTGAATTGCTTGAATAGAGGAAATGATTGATTTAATAAATACTGTGAAAGTAGTTCAGAACACCTCCTTGTTCTGAAAGATAACATTGACTGTCCCAGAAGTGTACAAGATCCATCTTGCCCTATGTCCTGTCTCTAAACTAGATTACACAAAACACTAAGGAAAGTATATGAAACAGGCAAAAATACTGATATTTTCCCAATATATATTTCCCAGTGATCTTACTTGAATCCTATACCTTGTAAACCAAAGCAGTTCAGGAGCTACAGACTTCTCTGTTCACATTCTCCATCCATTCTTAAACCTTGTTTTCAAGGCTAAAGAAGTCTGAGGGTGCACTGTTTGTGGTAAGCGCTGATGAAAGGATAGAAAACCATGTTTGGAAACAAAAGGCAACCATACACAGGACCCAGAGGATGATGAGATGAGGAGAGGGAGTCTTATGCTTTCATGCTCCCAAAGCACTAACCTTGGCCTGATGCCTTTAAATGCCATGGGTTGGTATGTTGCAGAGTTGTGCTGCATCAGTTTCCCAGGAGGAGTCAGCATCTCATGAGTCACACTTGTGAGGCAGGAAGAAGAAAATTAAGCAAATAATTTTATTTTCAGAATTGTTACATGCTCTCTAAAGCCTAGATTACTGCTCATGTTTCCAAATTATTCTATTATCAGCGTGTACACATCGCCCCTTATTGGCCTTGAACACTTCATTTGGTTCATTTTTAAAGGAGAGGGAAAATGGAATTTGCTCCCAGACTTTGGTTTATGTATCAAATACCATGTAAATTCAGGTATGAGCACAAACTCCATTTTAATTTTGTTATTTAGTGAAAAAGATGTTTTGAAAATGCGTCCTTGGAGCACTTGTATTTCTGTCTTTTACTGTTCATTATTCATTATGTAATGGAAATTCATGTTTTGAGCATGTTTCCTGTTTGACCAAATACTGTAATATGGGTCATGAAGTTGTACAGTATTGTTGATTTACTATGCCAAATTTAATGGCAGCTTTAGCCAAAATCTTCTAGCAGTAGGAATTGCTAAATGTGTATAAAGATTATAAGACAAAAATAGAGGTTTATAAGGCAAAAATACTTGTACTTGTGTTCATGCTTAAGAAAACAGACATCTCCCAGTATTTTATAATACTTTAAAATTAGTGTGTATCTAATTTCCTCTATTTCAGAGCAATTTACTAGTCTGGCAACTGGAGATATGTTAGAACAGATTTATAAATCTAGTAAAAATGTAATAGAACTTTTAAAACTAACTCACACATCTACTGGCAAATTTGGGTATTAGGTAAGCCTTGCCATTGCATCTCTTGTGCCCTGTATTTTGATGTAAACCACTCTATTGTTCCACATTCCAAAGAGGGAAAAAAACACAGTACTTATTTTAGTGGCCGTCTTTTTCTGGGGGGGAAGTAGCATATGGGCTTTTATGTATGTTGTCTCTGTTATTCCATAATGCGTCAAGTATTTTAGTGACTTACAGCACCTACTAGCTAATCAGCAAGTTGAAAGCTGATTGAAGAAACCTTCAAATTTGTGTCCTCAACTTTGCAAAAAAAGGGTGTTGGGTAAGTCGTCATGTTCTACTGTGCTTTACGGAGGGGATGGTTTTAGGGGAACTGCTGAGATTTTGCTAGAATAATTTAAGTGTCTTTTGTGTTCTCATGGAAAACCTTTATAAATTTACTGCTAACTATGTGATCTGTTTTAAAAGTGGAATGTTGTACTGGAAAATGTTTTTGTTTTAGTTTCTGTTGCAGAAGTTACCCTTATCTAGTAGTTATCCTACATATTCAGGGACAGGAGGTTTATATTTAGGTTGTGAGTTAACAGAATACCTGCAAAAACTACAGTTTTAAATAGACACTTGTCTTGATCTACTATTACTTTGATTTGCATTTGTCTGGGTTTCACACTGCAGATGGTGTAACCATTAGCATGTCTTATGTGAAACAGAAGAAGAAAAACATCCCTTTTGACAAGCTTGAGTACCAATTTTGGTAGTGATTTTACTTTCATATATAGATATCAGAATAAATGTATTTGAAGCGTGTTTATATATGCCATTCATTACACTGATGCACCAATTGAATGGATCCAATCAGTACATACATTGATTAATGACATATTGCAAAATAGCTACAGAGGGTCTGTGATGAGAGTTGAGGATAATGTTAACCTGCATATGATGAGATAATAGCATTTACTTCTTTACTGTGCATCCAGCAAAAACATTGCAGTACTAAGGTTAAGATTTTTGAAGTACTGTTTTTTGTTTCAGAATATTTTTCTTTCCTGGAGAATCTGTGATAGTGTTAATCCATGGTGAAGTGAACTGATTGCTTTCAAGGATTTCTCTCCTTATCACCAAATTTCCATATTAGGCATAACTGGTAAAATGTCACTTTGGCTCTTAGAACCTGTAGATCATTCTCCTAGAGCAGAAAGTCACTGTCCTTGTGGCCACTGAAGAACCCGGTGTCATCTAGCTTGAATTTTAAAACTGGAAGCTTTATTTTCATGTTACATTTACAGTCCTGAGTGAAACTTGTGGTACTTCAAGAACCTTGCAGAACACAAGCATAACCCAAAGGCAAACACTGTCAATTTTCTGCCATGGAAGGGTGTTTGTGTGCAGCATTGCAAGTATTTCCCTTCCAGGTAGGCAATCTTGATGCTTAAACTAATCTGTCCATGATACACATACTGTTGTTGTCTGCATAGCATAGTGATTTGGACACCTAGTTGTGATTTTACATGTTTGCTCTAAGAGCTATGAAAAGCCTAGTTATTTTTATTCCTTGTAATGCCTCTAGAGCAGTAGCTTATTTTCATACAGTCAGACTTCAATTAGAATAAATAGGTAATTATCTTCTGCCCCATGAATTGGTTAGGTTTTTTTTTCCTTCAGGCTAGGAGATTTGTTCCAACATCGTACTAATGCATTCTGTAAGAGGATGGCATGTCATGAAATCATGACTCCTGGAATCAAAGGGTTAAGCTCAGTGTGTACCAAGCCTGTTGTATAAATATCATGCTGTATGGAGTGTTGAGTTGTTATGGTAAGCTTTGTTTATTTAGCATGAGCACTTCGCTGAAGTGTAATCATTTGGTAAAATTTGGGAAAAGTAAGTATACACTTAAGTTTAATTACTTAATGTTTATTGCATTAGTGCATAGTATCAGAAGGACCTATTACTTTTAAAGATATTGAAAATGCAAAAATTTAGCATGGAAAATATAGGATGAAAAGATATTCATAGTCTCTTTTAACCTACTATCCTTGCTTTACTCTCGTCTAGTTTGGTCATCTCCCTTTGGTTATTGATATGGGTCTGAATTTAAAATTCATTGCACATAACAAATAAGCAAACATATAATTTATATTGTAATTTTTAGTTACTTTTTTAAACATATGTAAGGAGCTGATGAGAGATAAGAAATAGAGAATGTGGAAAAAAAGAAGCGAAACCCACTGCTTTTAAATTATATCCTCTGATTTAACGTACATGGACTTCAACCATGCATGTGTAATGTCAGTAAAAAAATTCCCATTTTAAAAACAGCAGAAAAATTGTTATGGATGTAACTAGAGAGCTTTCTTTGC